TTTCTTTCTAGTGCTCTTAGCATATGAAGAGGTTTTTTTGAGACCTGACACTTGGGATCACAGCCACAACAAATAATTTAGTTTCAGATCCAGAAACCTAACCCAAACTGTGTCTATTAAGAAGAAACACAAACACAGTGTTAGTGTGCACAAGTTAAACTGTACAAAACTGGTTTTCTGTCTTAATTAACCTTCACATGACGTGTTATTCAGGTACTGTTTTCCTAGCTGGATTTTCAGCCTCACTGAACTTAAACATCTTGCTCCCATTAAGTCAATATCAGCTATTTTATGATGCAGAGCTGGCTTTTCCAGTTATGAAGATAATGTTTGCTAAATTTCATCTTTTGATGGGTTTATTTTAAATTACTTACCCTGTCATGTTCCTACAGATTAGAAACCCTTTGTCTGTGATTTCTTCTGTTCTTTTTTAAGGGCAATAGAGTGGTGAAGTTTCACTTGTTAGTAAAAACTTTGACTTTGTGTTTTGCACTTCTCTGAATAGCTGCAGATATTTACAGAGAAGAGCTGGTGCACATAAGAATATGAAAGGGCATTATGGTATTGCAGGCAGGATAAGCTACATTGCATCTAACACAAGATAAGAATGCACTTGGGTGGCTGTAGACAAGCTGATTTTCTGTTGGTTTCCATTACGATAGTCTTGCATGAATGAAAGAGCATCAATGTGAAGGTTTAATAGAACATAAAAAAACAAAACTTTTAATGCATATTGGCTTCCTGTTATACCTCCCATAGACAAGATCTAAAGGTCTGGAGTTAATACTTTTGGCAGAACCCTAACTCAGCAGTTTGAAGCTCTCAGTGAGAAGTAAGCTGGCGTTAGACTATAGTCATGTAGAGCAAGGTAGGCTCTGCTGTAGCCAGCTGTGGGCAGGTCTTATTCTGCTGTGAAGCAGATTAAGCCTCGAGTGGTTGAACAACCTCACACATGTAGATTAGTGTGTGCACATCAGTTGCCACTGCAGAATAGCAGCACCACATGTGTGCGCACCTTCACTGAGGCTAACGTTACTCATGACTTTTTCCAGGGCTCTTATAAACCTACATGCAGGAAGCAATGGTGGGAAGAGAATGAGCATCATTTTGTGGTGGAGCAGCAGAGAGCGAAGGAAGGGTGGTTTGACACCTTAATCTCTCGATGGCAGATAAAGTGAAATGATACAAAGAGTGTGGTTTGGAAATCAGCAGCTGCAAAGATGCTAAGACCAAAGGAGGAGGAAGCTGAAGCACTGGTGTGGTTTCAGGACCTCTAGTTATTATTTAGGTTATTTCTACTGCGGTCAATGCTAATAATAATTTAAAAAAAAAAAAAAAAAAAAAGTACTTACAAAATGTGTGTGCGCACCTGTGTATTTGCAAGGTTTGGAATTGCCAATATGGTTGAACAGACAGAGGCAAATGTGGCTGTGCTGTTTTGTGTCTCTGAAGAGAGCGTTGCTCTTTTCAGATGTTTAGGGCAGATCTGTGGGTCTGAATTCTTGTGAGTCAGGGTCCCAAATCTCAGCACAGCCCAGAAGAGCCAGCCTAGGGTACGCTGGGTTTTAAGGCGTAAAGACCCAGTGGAGCAGGCTGGGTGACTGTACAGGGAGAATTATACAAGTAAGGTTCTGGGGTTTGTAGTTAGCACAGGATTTGTGTGAAAGTAATACTGTATGTAGCTAAGGATTGTAAGATTTAACATTCTTTAAACTGTCTGTTGTCTTAAGTCCCTTTATTGGGGAACCTTGCAAAGTACCTTTGGGAGCCTTTGACTATAGCCTCAGCTAGCATGCTTTATTTTCTTTTTGATGCATCACATGAGAGTCGTCTACATAAAGGTGAGATACCCTGGAGAGCTGCAGCTCAGCAAGCCCTATGCTTATATAATGATACAGCCCAATTCCAGCATACCAGTGAGCTGTTGTTCAATACACTTTGTAATCTTATTGACAGAATTCTCTGTTGTCGTAACACCCCCAGCATGTGTTTGGCTGCATGTGGACTCAGCTATGGTATGGCAGTTTGCCTTAGAAGGAAGACATCTTCTCATGGAAGGAATATCTTTGGGACAGAACTTAACATTTTTTTTCAGCATAAATTGCTTTCTGTTTAAGCACAGAGTTTTTCCTTCTGTAAACTGTCATCCTCCAGTGTGTAAGACAAACTGGCTGAAATTAATGCATATTGGGAATGACATAAGTTGTTCCTAGCGGCACAAAAGTGTTATGACTATGTGTATTTCATACTATATCACTTCATGTGTAGAGTATATATAGTGCATGTTGCATTACTTTACACCATGGATCGTCTTCACATGCCTGAAGTAATTTTGACCTTGTGTCATCTTTTGGTTTTGATACCGACACACAGGAGCAAATATAATTGTTATTGATTCAGCTCAAGGCTTATTCTAACAGCTGTGTTGGCTGCACAGACCTCTTCACAAGTTCTGGATATTCTTACCTGGGGGGGAGGAGAAGCACATCTTGTTCCTACTTAACAAGGGTTGCTAAAAATGCCAGGACCTACAAGCAATGTGACCTCAAATGCAGAAGGATGCACCTTCAAGGACCTTCTCCATTTAGTTTTGGGCTCCTCTGAGAGACCACAGAAGTGGAAAAATGAGTAATGTTCCGTTTTGTTTGTGTGCTCAACCACAGGGCACAGGTTCTCTTTGGCCAGAGATGCTACTGTGCAAGCTCTGTTTATTGAATTGGGAATTAATTTCCTCAAAACCAGAATGTCAGTGTCCTTTCCAGGGCAGATGCTCTCATTGCTTTGTCCAGGGGCAGTTACAGGTGATTTTGATTCCACTCTCTCTGTGCAACTGCAAATAACGGAGACTTCCCAAGTTAAGACTTCAGGACTCTGACAATAATTCTCTTTCTAGTTCAAAAAAACATTGCAAAATGCAGTTTTAAGACACAAACTGGTCAGGCTAGCAATCTAAACTGTACTAGGGCAAATTTTAGACCCCAGTTTTTAAATTATAGAGGCTGTTTTCTTTGATTTGCACCAAAATGAAGTACCTAGACTGTGCTGTGAAAAGAGAGGCTGCTTCTGTCAAGATGCTTTCACAAACACCGTCAGGCACTATTTAGCCTTGTTGAAAAATATTCAGAGTGGCACTTGCATAGTTTTCAAAGGCTCCTGAGCAATCAGAGTTGTCAGGAATCACAATTTCTGAGCATTTCTGTGTTGTGGGCTTTTTTTTGTTTATTTTCTGGAAATAGCTAATTAAGCAGAGAAGTAGTGAGTATCGACGAGTATTTTTATTAACAGGACTCTTTTGCCCTTTTAAACATCACTGAAAGCCAAGCATTATATACCCTCAGACCTATTCAATGTCTGTTTGGGTAAAGAAGCCTGCCTGGTTTGGGGCAGTTTTCTGACCAAAGACAACATTATTCATAGTGCTCTACAGCTTGTGTGGAGGCTGCTGGTTAGTGTGAAGACCTAGGAAGGAAACCCTTTTGGAAACTTTCTGCCAATAAGCCCATTGGTTTTAGCCAATCACCAGTATGGTGACATTCTCTCCATGAAAATATTGCCCTGTTAGGTGTATGCATTAGTAAATCTGCAGCCATGTAGAATAAATTCAGGAAATGCTGACTGATAGCTACTGAAAAGCTCTCGGTAACCTCTTAAACACTCAGGACATAACTTTTTCTTCTTTAATGAGTAAGATAGTTTCATTTAAACTGGAATGATCACACTTACAAAGGCCATTTTACTGGCTTTCCCAGGTCTCGAAACTCCACAGTTGACCAACATATTAAATATTTATGATACATTGTGTTTGGTTTGTTTCTGGTTGGTTTGGGATTGTGGTTTGAGGTTTTTTTTGTTGGTTGGTTGGTTGGTTTGTTGTTGGTTTGCTTTTTTTTTGTTTGCTTGCTTGTTTGTTTGTTGGAATTTTTTGTTGGCCTTGTTTTTTTTCCCCCAAATTGAAGCTGTATGCTTTGCCAGGGCTTCTCTGTTATCAAATATTTACAATGTTTTTGCATGTGCCTCACATGTTATATATGCAAAAAATAGGAAAGCACTGCCCTTGTACTTGATGTTTAGATTTAGTTACTCAGATGTATCGATTACTACTACCTTCGCTCTGGGACATAATTTCATAGAAATCCATAAAATTCTGTATGTAACATTTAGATCTGATTGTACATGAAACAGTAAGGAAAGGTAATTAAGAAGAAGTAACTAGCATTTAATAATGGCTACCTAATCATAGCATATTTTTGATGAACCTCCATAAATTTCTTGTAGTCATAGTTGTTGTAAGATTCCCCATGGTGTAAAACCACTCTGCTCTAAAACTACCACAGTGTTAAAATTGACATTCTGGTAGTAGAACAACAAAATGTTTTTCTCACCCCATATTTTTTTTTTTTTAAGACCTTAGCTAATGTTTCCTTCTTCAAATGGGATTAAAAATCTGTAATTTTTAGGATTTTTGCATTCATAATCAGATACTTTGTATTGAGAGATGAAATATTTTAAAAAGTAATTTAAATGAATGTATTTCACTTTGTCTGCTTTAATGTTTAGTATTGTCATACATTATAAGAGTAACGTCATTCCAAAAAGTCTAAGGCTTGCTTGCCAACAGTGTAAAAGTTACTGAGGAAAGGGGGAAGATAGACATATAAATACATTCATAGAGCAAGGTTACGTAATCCTCTCTATTCTGTATATGTGTGCATATGTATCCTTTGAAATTTTTTTCTCTGTATCATTTCCTATCCTAGTCTATAGATGAGCAGCAAGCTGGTTTGCAGGGTTGACAGCACGGAGATCTAAAGCTGCTGGAGATTCCACGCAGTTATTTAACTGTACCCATATATCTGTGAACAAGTCACCATGAGTTTGGATTTAAATCTATATGTAAAGATGATCCCGATTACTGGGATAATACATTACAATGTTCAGGTATTTATACTATGGAATCTACTCTTTCTCTGCATTGAATTTCTTATTCTCTCGTTGTACAGGTTTTAGGAAGCAAGCCAGAACTTCCTGAGTGTGATGATCAGGATGATGAACTGGCCGATATTACAAACAGGAGAAGTGCTAAACTATACATGGTAAGTAATTTATTTATTTTTAGTTCAGTACACTGAACAGTATTCATGCGTGTATTTCCCTCATAAATGGAGTCCCGGCTTCAGTTACAGAACTGCAGTTGTGTTATTTGATTTGCAGCCAATGGATAAGTTTCTCATAGCATGTTGATCAAGACAGCTGAGGTAAATTGAGGGAAAAATGAATTACAAAAAAACAGAAGGATGTTTACTCAGGAAACAAGTTAACCATGGCCTATGAACCACTCAGTTTAGGTCAAGGAAGAATTAAGTGATTTTAAATCAAACTATATTTCCTGTCTTCTTGATTGTAACAGTGAGAGTTTTAGTGAACATACATAATTTCATTATCATTAGCAGAGTTAGAGAGATGCACAGTTATGTTGTGTTTTATACATAAATCCAAGGAATTTGAATGAAAACGTCCTTTCTTTTGCAATGCCCTTTTCCTCCTTCCTCACCTGCAATGGCTTGACACTGACTAGGACAGTGCCACTGCCAGAAAATTTACCCATAACCTAAATAGAATAAATATTTACTCCATTTAAATCAGTAGGAGTTTTATCATTACATTCAGTGAGGTTATGATTTTTCCTCATGTCATGCTAGTCATACTGCTCTTCCTAGACTAGGCCTGGAATTATTCTTTGCACTAACAATACAGTATCTTACCTGGATACAAGGCTAAAAAACTATTTGTTTTTCCTTTTTCTGAAAAAAAAACAAAACTATTTCCAGGCCTATATTTTCTCTTTATTTTTTTTTTGCCCATAGCTCCCCTCTCTTTCATATTCTCCTACATAAGAAGTGAGAAAGTATTTGGAAAAGGGAGATTTTTTAATGAAATCTAGAAAAGAATTTATCTTTTCCCCTCCTAATAAAAAAAATGTTTTTGTTCTGAGGGCTGCAAGGAGAATGTTGTTTTTTTTTCACAAGCTCTCATTAGCGCTGCAATCTGAACTTTTGTTTTTAGCACTTTGTGCTCTGGCTCATGTAACGAGGTTGCGATGTGTGACAGAAAAGCCTTTCACTGGCTTCCCATGCACTTCCTTCCCTTCCCCATAGTCACTTAACAAGAAGACTTTGGTCAACAAGTGGAAACACTCTGACATCACTACGTGCTACTGGGTCCCTGTGTGTGTGACCTTTTAGGTGCTATCTACAGTAGCTTTGAAGCTGCTCTGAAGTGGGAGAGAGGATGAGTCACTTCCTCCACAGCGCCTGCATCCCACAGCCCGCAGCAGGATGGATCCACCTCTCTCCTTGCCTGTTAGGTGATCCTTCCCGCGCCCTGCGTGTGGCTGGGGTTTACAAGAAGCCTATATGAGGTGATCATTGTTACAAAGACATTTTCAGTCCTTGTTATATATGTGCTGTGTTTAGTTCCCATTAATCATTCTAGTCTTACCAAAATTTTGGGATGCATTTGTCTTTAAAGCAAGATTTTAGGAAAAGAGACCAAAAAAAAAAAAAAAGGCCTGCATATATGATCAGGACCATTGCTGTAAGACGACACTAGAGAAGAGAAAAGTGCTTGTAGGGGATTTTGGAATCCTAGGAACTCTCAGAAAATTGTGTGGATATCTAGTAAATTCCTCTAAGTACATGGGTCCTGCTGTTAGCTCAGTTTAAATGGACTGCATTATAAGTGTGTCAAAATCAGGAGACAGATCTATGGTGAGCCGTCACAGTAGGTATAATAGTTGATTTTTATTTGTTGTATGCAGTGTTAATTTCTATCTTGTGTTTCCATAGTATGCAATATAAAATATAATGGTGTATTTTAAATTAATGTTTTATTGTGAAAGGAAATACAGACTGCTAGAAAATTGGAAGCCACAATAGTAATAACTTCTTTTCAGTAGTAATAATTGACTTTTTTCAGCCAGAGTGAATTTTAAGTGGTTGTAAAGATGTACATGAACTTACAGTGGTGGCAGAGAATACAAAGCATATTCTGCAACAGGTTTTATGTCACGGTTTCCAATTTAAGAACTGTAGGCTATTAATGTAGGTATTTCACTTGTTAATATCAGTGTGGGACTATTTCATTATCCTTTCAAATGCTCTTGTTTGGCATGTACATGTAGAATCAGAATGGTCTGGGTTGGAAAGGGACCTTACCTTTGGCTTCAGTGTGGGTTGTCTGGTAGCAGAAGATGACACATAGGGACTGCAGCAGTTCAGCTGAGCATAAAAGGTAGGCTGACGAAAGTAGTGACTTTTAACTGTGAGGTGTTCACTAAATGAGCAATTGAGTTTGAAGTAGAAAAGAAAAAGATTTACTTTAGGAAGTGGAGACAGGGAGCCAACAAACTCACTAAAATTAACACTACATCTCCCTCTATTGGATGTAAAATAGAATGCAATTTAAAAAGTTCATTAGCCTACCTTACTTTCTAGCAGCACGTAAATATTATACAGCCATTTATATAGGAATGGCAACTGATTTTTATAGTAATTTTGACAGCAGAAATTAATTTGGTTTAAAAGCTAGAGTTGTTCTAAATTGGAAATTTTTGCTTTCTTAGGTGTCAGATGCAAGTGGATCCATGAAAGTGTCCATGGTCACAGAGGAAAACCCCTTCTCCATGGCTATGCTTTTATCTGAGGAGTGCTTCATTTTGGACAACGGTGCTGCAAGGAAGATCTTTGTGTGGAAAGGTAAGAGATCACCCACAAATGCAGAAGCTACACAGACATATCTAAGGAGTTGACACAACAAACTTGGGACATTAGAAAGTATTCAATAGTGGCTGGACAGAGTATCCTGCACACAGTTCTTGGTGTGGTCAATGTACAAGGATTGCTCATGTGAGTAATGGCCTTAAGACTTAGTCCTGTCTGTGGATCCTGGCTATTTTCCAGACATCTGTAAGCCTGGGTGCTTAAATGCTTATCTAATTGCAATTATAGAGCAAACATAAAAAACCCTACAGGTCTTGTTTATTGCCATCAAATCTCTGTCTTCTGGAACAAAATCTGGACACTGAAGGTTTGATGATGGGTAGATACTACATTTCCATACATTACCCCACAGAGGTACGAAATGGGAAGGTGAGTGTCCCAAGCATTAACTGAAAACATAAGCTTGCAAATACTTTGATGTTTCTTTTTTTTTCCAGTGAATATTTCTCTGTACTATTGTCAACGCTTGTAGGAGTGCCTGCAATTGCTTTGACTGAACATTTCCTATGAGACTAGTACTACTGGGGAATTAGGCCTGGACACCTTGTAGCTGGATTGTTGTGGTGCTGCCATGGCATCCAGTGCTGAGGATCTCCCCTTTTTTTTGTCTGAGGCAGTGTATTAATTATTATGTGACATTTGCATTCCATTTTACCCTCTGCAATAGCAATTAATTAATCACTGCAGTTATAATATTGCTGAAGCCAGTCCAGGAACTGTAGTAAGCACTTTGTTTGGAAACTTCATTAGCAGGTAGGGAAACATCCTTTCAAAGAGAGCATTTGGGGAGCACTGTGCAGATAGCCAACAGGATCAGGCATAAAATAAATAAAATACAGTTTAGGCCCTCTGACTGTGGCCCTGTGTGCTTCTCTGGGAATCCTCACTTTTCTGCTGTAGGTAACAATAATGTGTGGAAAAAAAACACATTAGTCTGTCTCACCCTCCACTGGGAGGCTGTAGTTATCATCTCTGCTGGAAACCTGAAGACCACTAAGCTGAGGAGTATGAATTACTTTGCTAATAGTCTCATTCAAGCTTGAATACAATGAATAGCTTATCAGAGCATCTTATTAGACAAGAGATCTTTGGCATACAGTCATTGACAGCCCGATGGAACACAGATCTGATACACAATGTCATCCCACAGAGACTTTCAGACATCTAACACTGAGCAAGGCCGAACAAGGAGCTGTGGATGGGGAAGGGTGGTGGTTAACTGCACAGCACTGCCAGATGAAATGGCAATTTCCTTTACTTGGTCTATGGTGCTGCCTAAAATAGTGAAGGTAGTTCTGGACAGCAGCTTTATTTAACACATTGCAGCCCAGCAAGGGAGGATTCAGAGAAAAGACCCAGGATATTCTTGTACCTTGAACCATGCAGATGTTATGAACAGCATTTTTTTGTTAGAGACACACACACTAAGCAAAAAATGTCTGGGTCATGTGTGTTCCCCATGTCATCCCCACCTCCCTCCACCCACCCTGCACATTCTTCTTTGTGTTAACTGTTTTCAGAGCTGTTGCGGTACTGTGTTAGCCAATCAGTTTTGTGTCAGACTTCTTCTTTCTGTTACACACAGCATTTCTGTTTGTTCAAGACTGAGGCAAGAGCAATGTTGAAGAGAGCCTGGCTCAAGGACGTCTTGGTTTTGCAGGATCTGAGAGCTTATTGCTCTTTCTCACGTATTGTTATCCTTCTGTTTTAACCAGGTAAAGATGCTAACCCACAGGAGAGAAAGGCTGCCATGAAGAATGCTGAACAATTCATACAGCAGATGAATTATCCTGCCAACACACAGGTGTGATCTATTTATGAGATGTACCAGGAAAGCATGACCTCTGTTAAAGACTTTGTTTTTTAAATCAGAAAAAATAATATTTTTAAGATTTTAAGACAGTTAGAACAGTATTTCACTAACAGATAATTCAGAAAGGTTTATGTTCTCTGTTGGGTAACTGTTCCAGGTTTTTTTTCCTTCAGTTTCTTGTGACTTCCTTCATTTCAGATTCAAGTCCTTCCTGAAGGAGGTGAAACACCAATTTTCAAACAATTTTTCAAAGACTGGAAGGACAAAGATCAAAGTGATGGCTTTGGAAAAGTCTGTGTCACAGAGAGAGTGGCTAAAATTGAGCAGATTGAATTTGATGCTACGAAGTTACATGAGTCTCCACAAATGGCTGCCCAGCATAACATGGTAGATGATGGTTCAGGGAAAGTAGAGGTAATTTTTGTGTTGTATTAAATTGTATCACACTTACCTAATATATTCCATTACTTGGAACAGGTTTAGCTGCTACTCTGTGTTTTGCCATTTCAGCTGCTGTGTAGAGTAACACTACATTAGTGGCAGCGATAAGAAGAGATACTTTGAAGTAGAAAGCAAATCTCTTTGTTAGCTGCGTGCTGGGTCATGGCTTTTTGGTACTTATGAAAGATGTTGTACCACTCATCAGTAGAAGTCAAACAGCAGAAATATTTCCCTTTCTACAAAATACCTTTTAAAGATATACTTTAAATATGATCCTTAGCCTAAAGAAAAACTTAGATCTCACGTAAGTTTGAAATCTGGAATGTGAAAACTTGCCCTTGGAGTCAGAAATTAATTCCATGTCTTTATGTATGTATCCAGTCTGCTTTCTAGAAGAACCTTCTTTGTCCCTAGTGTCTCTAGTCTTTCAGGTAACCTGGGTTTAGACAGAAAAAGATGATTGTACAGTCTTTCTACATCTATCCATATCCCTCTGCAGGAATATCTTTGGACTACACAGGACTGGTTTGGCATTGTACCAGTACAGCCTGTTGAATTCAGGTCTGCATGTTGAGATTCTGGCAGAAAAGGAAAGGATAAATACTTACATCAGCATATTTTCTAGGTTTCTAATCTCATAAGTGGCATGGTGCATAGACTTGAGCCAAAACAGCTTAGATCCAAAGCATTTTTTGCTGTATAATTTTAGCAGTATGTTTGTGGAGCGTAGTTGTTAACTGAACCAGGCTCTAGTGAATCAACCAGGAAGAAATCTGTTATCTGACTACAGTGTGCTTCTCCCAGGTGAAATGATTCTATGATGAATCATCATATGCCATTTATGTTATATTATCATCATAAGATGTTAAGAAAGAGAGTTCAACATAGCACTATAAGTTAAGTATGTGGCATTAAAGCATCAAGACAAATAAATATGTACTGCAATGGCTTGTTGATGGACTTTATTCATCCAGTGGGTACAGGGTGTAGCTATCTACATCATGAAGAATCCTTCCTGGTTTTATTCTGTAACACTTGGGACCAGAAATAAAGATCACTCAAGGGATGGCACAATAAATTTGCTTTTTGAAGAGTCTCAGGATGTAGTTCAGCATTCTGCAATGATTTCTCTGTTCCCCAGATCTGGCGTGTGGAAAGCAGTGGCAGAGTTCCTGTGGGACCTGAGACATATGGACAGTTCTACGGTGGTGACTGCTACATTATCCTCTACACTTACCCTAAAGGGCAGATCATCTACACATGGTATGTTTGGTTGGCTTTGCACAGACCTCCAGCATGTGGATATTATTTTGTGCTAATTTTATGTCTCTGTGAGTAGAACCATTTATAAATGCAAGGTTGTTTACTGTGCATTTGTCATTCAATATAAGCTCTAAATTATTTTGAAACTAGACTTAACCATTGTCTTTTTCCTCATTTTCCTCAGGCAAGGAGCCAATGCTACACAAGATGAACTGACTGCATCTGCATTTCTGACTGTTCAGCTGGATCGGTCGTTGAACGGTCAGGCTGTGCAGGTTAGTGTCTTTTGGATAAAATTCAACAGAACATGCAAGGTATGTAAATTTCAATGAAAACTGGAAGGAGGAGGTAGTGTTTGAAGGCTGAGAATGTCAACTGCTCATGGTCTGTATCATGCCTAGCATTTTGGGTTCCTTTTAAAGTCACTGGAGATTTCCCACTTCAATCATCCATTCTGAATGTAGATGTCTGAAAGAACACAGACATGACACAACCTAAATCTGCCTTTACTTCCCTTCAACTTTCCCTGTCTAAAAATCAGATTTTAGTCCTGCCTAGCCTTACAGACTCTGTACATGGTCTGTGGAGACTGAATAATAAGGTCCTCCCAGGGAAACTCTCTCTGAAGCAGGTATCTGACAGGGCAATAGTCCTGTGTGAGCTCTGCTGTCTCCTTTTGATTACGTAGGAAGCTGTGATGTTTAGCCCAGACAAGATGTCTGACTTTAGAGGGCCAGAACTATGATACATGAAAGCCACATGAGAACCAGAACAAGAGAGCCTGCCAGAACTATGTCACTGGTATCCCTGCCTTAGTGAGGAGTCTAACTTGGGTTTTCCTATCTTGAAGTGCTTGCAGCTCTGTGAAAACAGGATACACATCCACACTTGCAGAAACAGGGTGTGCAAGGCAAGGTGCAGGACACTGGCAGCTAAAAGGTGTGAGGAAATAAGCTAGTCCTAGCATGGCTAGGAGGGTGTGTGCTCTCCTTTCATCATTAGTGAGGAGCGAGGGGTAGGTGGAGATGTGAGAGGTCTCCCCTTTTCACAGAAAGGCTAAAGCTGGAAGATGACTAGGGAAAGGCAGAGATATTCTAGGCAGCAGGAGATAATTCTGTGCTTCACATTTCCTAATTATCAAAGTAAAGGGCTTCCCCACACACCAAGGTACAGTTAAGTTAGATGGCAGACCATACTTTTAGTTATTAATCAATTATGATTGAAATTATATTAAGGAAGAAATAACACATTTCTGGGTAATTACTCTTTGAAATATTCCTAACACACATTCTATATTTGGACAGAGTTCATCACAATATTGTGCTGCCTCATACCTAAGGCAAATAATAACACTAAAGTAATAAGAATACTACTACTAACAGCAGCAGTAACAATGTGCTTAAAAAGCTGTTTTATTAAAGCTGAAGGAGATCCCTCTCACTGCCGTGGACATGATACTTAAAAGTACTTTAGCCTGCAATGAATTTAGGAATATATATATGTATTTATATATGTGTGTATATATGCGCCTGTTCATTTGTATGCATGTAGATATATTGCCTGTGCTTAAGGAAAGGTTTAAATGTGCTGGTGTATGGTCACTAGATGGCACTACAGTACAAATTACTTTTTGAAAGCCGTTTCCCTGTTTTGTTTTGCAGGAATGTTTCCCTCAGCAGTTGGGTTGTTTGTTTTTTTCTGTGTGGGTTATTTTGGGAGATTTTTTGTTGTTTTGTTTGGGGGGGTTGTTTGTTTTTTTTTCGAAGGGGAGGGTGTTTTTTGGGTAATTTTGGGAGGGGTGTAGGAGGGTTACAATTGTAAAATCCTGCTGCAGTTGGCACCTACAATACAGGTGTCCTAGGGTATCCTTATCAGGCAACAGTACCAGGCTATCCAGCAGGTGCTGTTACAATGGAAGAACAAACGGTTGTATAGAAATAACTTTCATCATACATTCACCTACCAATAGTAATGCTTCATAGCACTTTTTCTGAGAGTGCAGTAATATCTTGTGCATCTGTAATGGAAGTTCATTTTTGTCATTTGTGTTGTCCTCTGCAAGACAGATTTACATTCATATTTTTCATCCTCTTGCAGGTAAAATACAAATAGAAAGAATGAGCAGGATGAATAACTATTCTTTTCTGCTTAAATACAGGGCACCTAAACTTCCAAGATAGTTTTTTTTTTCAGGGGAATTAAGTCACTCTATAAAACTCTATGAAATGACAGTTCTTCTGAAAAACGAGGAATTTTCTTATTACAGTAGATAGCAGCCGTTTTAATTGGCTAAACATGTTAGAAGTTTGAATCTTGTCTTTTTGTCAGCATGATTGACAAAAAATCTCACAAATGCTCCAACCTTAATGTCTCTGGAACTATATTTTTAGATCGTTTCAGCTTTCCACTTCTCATTTTTGCTAACATACTTAGCATTACTAGCTAACATCCCCAATGCTCTTCAACAGAGACCAGAAATAACTACCTGTGTACTTTTGTTTCTTGTATTGTATTTCTTTACCTATGTACAGATCCGAGTCAGCCAAGGCAAAGAGCCTGCACATTTACTGAGCTTGTTCAAAAACAAACCACTTATTGTCTACAAGGATGGAACATCCAAGACAGAAGGTCAGAAACCTGCTCCACCCACACAACTCTTCCAAATACGCCGGAACCTGGCAGCCATTACTAGGATTGCAGAGGTAAGGTCACCTGCTAAATAAAGCAAGGATTCCCCATGGGAAATGGTATAGGTGCCACGAGCCTTTTTGACTAATCTTGTTGGGTAGTCACATCTGGTAGGAATGCAGAGTCTCAAATCAAATCCACTGCTCTGTGTGACCAACCCATCTAGTAAATAGAAGAGAACATGCTGTAACTGGCTGCAACCAATCTACATCTTTCATGTAAGAAAACATGTAGTGAACAGTCAGATGACAAAGAATAGACAAAAAATCCACAACACTTGTGAGACAGTCTTTCCTGTTTTATGAGATAGTCTTTTCTACTGCAAAACAGTCCCACATTTTGCCCTTCAGGTCAGTTCCCTGGCTCAAGTTCTTCTCTAATTTGTATCAGTGTAAATCTAAGGAAAATTTGAGGTGAAAAAGCATAAGTGATTAACATCTTATATAAACCTGCAAAACAGTGATCATGTTATTTGAAAATGAGAGAGATAAAACAGTTTCTTTTTTGATTTAGGTTGATGTTGATGCAACGTCACTAAACTCTAATGATGTCTTTGTTCTGAAACTGCCAAACAACACTGGCTATACCTGGGTAGGAAAAGGAGCAAACAAAGAAGAGGAACAAGGAGCCCAATACATTGCTGTTGTTCTTAAATGCCAAACTGCTAAGATTAGTGAAGGCCAGGAACCAGGTTAGTATGGAGCCATGTGGTTGCTAATAGTCAACTGAGAAAACACACCACCGCGTGGAAATTCAGCCTAGATGGGTTTTGTGATCAGAAGTATGTGCTCACTCTCTCCCTTTGAAAATCCAACCTTTCATTTTACCATCGAGACCTATCCAGGATTGGCTGATGCACAAGCAGTGCAATGCCCTGGAAGTCTGTAGGACAGTAGCAGGAGCTGCAGAGGAATGTGGTCCTTCCTTCATCCTGAGTGCCTAGGAGGAAGAATGACATAGTGCCTTGCTCTTTTTAGGTCTGGAAATGGTATCTTTATTGTTATTCTGTCAAACTTCAGGAAGAGCTCTAAGAAAATTCACCCATCTTTGAGACAGCAAAAGAGATATTGTTTGGGGATTTTTGAAACAGTACCTAACAAGCTAGAACACCAAATGTTAAATCTGCTGCTGAATAAATTATACATTGTGTATTTCAGAGGAATTCTGGAAAGCACTTGGAGGTAAAAAAAAATACCAGACTTCATCACAACTCTTGACAAAAGCTGAAGATCATCCCCCTCGCCTGTATGGCTGTTCTAATAAGACTGGCAGATTTATTGTGAGTATATGAGGGAAACTCCTCTCTGTTTAATTACATATTTTCTGGTATATTTTGTCTTTGGAATCAGGAGACATTAAATTAATTCGGAGACCTGGCTTAGTTAGCTATGCTTGGCAAGAGCTACGGAGCTGAAGTTTGGTGCTTTCAATCAATTCAAATGCAAAGGACAGACAGAATTAATACGGCAGACGTTGTATGCTCCAGCCTGGGACTGGAGGTTTGTGGATGTGAAAAGCTAAGGCGTTTGCCCAGGCAAAAGCAATTGCCAGGCTGTTACTATGTCCCTGAGAAAGTGCAGGTCAGTGCCTTGCCCCTTACCTGTTTGATAGTGGTGCTGAGGAAAAAAAATATCCCTTGCCAAAAATTCTTAGCAGCCTGAAATTTTCCATATAGATTTAAGATGTAATTATGCCTCTAAGGGATTGGACTGTGCTCAAGGAGGTAGGAAGACTTATTTCCTTAGCAGAAGTACCCAGAGCTGTACACTGGGTATTAAGCCTGTGACTCAGGATTAATTACTTACTGTATTCTTGGAGGGCAGTGCTGTGTCACAGTTTGGCAATGATGCACTAAAATTTTTAGGTAGGGGACATAGTTGGCTACCATCTCTGCTGTCTTCTTAAGGCACAGCCCATTCATTTGGAGAGGCATAAAACAAATAGGATCCTTTAAGAAGGGCTTTAAATTCTTACGAGAGTAGTAAAGCGTGTTCTTCTTGCAAGCTTCTAAAACTGCTGCGAATATATGGTAGCAGGAACCAACCTCTCTATAATAATCTGCTGGGAGCTATGCACTTATTTGTTTGGGTTTTTTTAAATTCCCTCCAAATTCTGTGAGAACCTCTCTTTCCTGTAGCATTTCTGTAGTAACAGAATCGCCACTGTTAGAGCTCACTGGAAGAGGTAGGTCATCAGATCGCTCTGATCATCTGGCCACTGTAACACAGGGCGGGGAGAAGGAATGCATTTAGCACTATCTGTTTACCACCTCTGTAGGATTCCTGTATGACCAACATAGCCAGACCTTTAGATGTAGTATCTTTCCTTCTCATACAGAACAGCATTAAACTGCTTGTCTGTCTGCCTGTACATCCTTGGAAGAAGCAAGCAGTCTGTTTTTCCTTTGGGGACTAATCCTTGATGGCTTAGTCAGCTGTAATGTCCTATTGTCAAGTGAGACAGCAAGCTTCCTTGGGTGTGTATTCATCACTAAGCTCACACTCTGCAAATCAAAGCTGTTTCTTTTCCTTATTAATAATGTAAGCTGCATTAATATATCAGCTGATTTATTTAATTTGCTTGGTACAAGGAAATTTCTATGGAAATTTTCCTGTCCCCTTTTTCTGGCAGACCTCATTCCCAACTTAATGGTAGTCACAATTATAATGTAAACCTCTGTCTCTCCAGAGGATATTCTATCAATGCTGACAAACTGAGAGCTGATTTTATAGGACATGAAATTATGTGATTTGTTTCAGCAAATCAGTTGAGAGCGTGACCCTTTAGGAGCAAAGAGAGTTGCACACCAGCTTCTGGACTTGGCCTTTTAAAAATATCTTCAGTCTGTACAAAATCAGAATATCTTGATAAATCATTAAAAAAAAAAACAAAAACAAAAAACAAAAACACCTCACCCTAAACCATAATATTATTTTTAGATTGAGGAGGTCCCAGGAGAATTCACTCAGGATGATTTGGCTGAAGATGATGTCATGTTGCTGGATGCGTGGGAGCAGGTAAGCTGTGTACTTGACCACTGCTTCTTGTAACAAGGATAATTTATTCTTAACCACTTAGGTCATAAGATGAGAGGAGAAATTGTCTCTGTGTAAATGGAAGAAGTTTTGGTTTCTTTACATTTATTTTTTTACCTATATGATATACTACTGTGAACATACACGACTGAATTTCTAAATTGCAGTGTGAGACCATGTCAGGTACTTCCCATTAAAACCAGTGGAGACTGTAAGAGTAGAAGCCTCATCAGTGTTCTGAAAGTCTTTATCACTAAAATTTATTCATTTTAAAAAAAAGTTATTGTATAAGAGCTATTCAGAAGCCACAAAATCCATGTAGCAGCAGCACCTACAAAAACATCTCTATAAAGAATGGGAGAAACACTAGACCCTTACACAGATTTCTTCAGAAGAACTGGTTGAGGGTGACAGAAACATTATCTGTCATTTTCCCAGGTTCCCTGAAAACTGAAAATGTTGAGAGCTTTCTGGATGACAGGCAAATTTACTGCAGGTGCAAAGGACACATCTCTTTCTCACAATATATTCTCCCTACCCTTCCTGTCCCCTTGGAGGGAAAGGGGGAGGAGGCCACAGATCCCACACTTTGTCTTCTTCCGCCTAGCCCTCAATTTAAAAACAGGCTGAGATTTTTGGAAATGAGAAGGAACATCCATGTGGGAAGGAGTGATGGGGGAAAGTGGGTGGAAGAGCTGGATGGAAAGAAGTTGGGACATACTGATTCAGGTAAGAAGAAAAGTCTGGGATGTGTAGCTGTTTTCCAAACGGATCCTTGACAGAAGAAGAATAACTGTGGACACTGCAGATTTGGGCTCTGGTTGTTGGGTTATTCAGTGGGTTATCTAGCAGTTACCCTGGGTACAAGTGCTGATGCACAGAGGGAGCTTGAAACAGAGACAGCTGCTGTTCAGTATTTTTACCTACACCTAAAGACCCATTTCTTTGACAAATTGTAAAAGTTATCCATGGAAAAGGTAATTAGAGTTCCTTTCATCAGAGTGCATAAAGGTCTGGCCTTCCAGTGTTAAGAAAGGGGTGAGCTATCAGAGGATAGAACTACAGATTCTGACAAGGGGGAAAAAAATCATCAATAGTTTGTGAGAGCTGTGTATCTCTGCAGTCTTTTCACAGTGTACATTCTTTCTCTTAGTGAAATCAACTGTTATGTACTTTACCTGCTGTACACAACATCCTTACAACAACATGGGAGCTGTATCTTTCTCTCCTTTGCAGGTTTTCATCTGGATTGGGAAGGATGCTAATGAAACTGAGCGACAGGAATCCATTAAGTCTGGTAAATAAATCAATTTGGCAGAATTCTGAGTGAAATAGCATCAGTATTACTTAAAGAGGTGAAAAAGATAGTGTAGAAGAAATATAGTTTACAGTGTTTAAAAGGGATACTGAGCTTAGTAGGATTTAAAGATGGAGAATATTATTTTTCTCCTTTAAATATTCTTTAAAACCCATTGTATCTTTCTTATCTGTAAGTTTATGAGGGTAAAATTATTCCAAATAGCATTACTAGGCTGGAGAGCTTTTTAATACGCATGTAGAGGAGAACTCCATGAAAAGAAACTGCTTTGAAATGAGAAAGAATTTCAAAGGCGATACCTCCTGAGCTTTACTAATATGTATGCGTGTGTGTGTATATATATATATATATAAAAATATATATAATCAAAGGAATGCCAACAAGTCCGAGTCTTTGGGGAGACTGCCACCCTTCACTGAGTTACCTCTGGAGGAGGAAATTCCAGTTGCAAAACAAATCAAGACAACTCATGTGGAGTGCACCTCCTTGCACCTCCTTGAAAAATCATATATGAGAATGGCTGAGCCATTTTGACAAAGTTTGTGCTCCAGGCACTCAGAAGTGTTTCCCTGGTGCAGGTGTGGTTACCTAGCTGTTCTTCCAACGTCACACTGCAATGTCAAGGGAAACTATACTGGCTGTTACATAGGAAAAATGGGAATGAAGCTTGTGCATCTACACAGCACCAGCAAATTTTTTCTCTTGTTCAAGAGCTGAAGCCCAGCTGCATAGCAACAATCCCTGTTTTGACCTCATGGCAGCAATTACCTGATCATTTCATTGCCTTTGAAATAATTTAACTGAGTATTGTGTTATAGTAGCCCTGGGTTCTTTCAATAGGGCTTTTAATATATTTTTTTTATACCAACGGAATGAACTAATATATTACATGTTCTGTTTCATCTCTGGTTTTAGCCAAACGCTACATTGAAACAGATCCTTCTGGCAGAGACAAGGGGACTCCTATTGTAATTGTGAAGCAGGGGCACGAACCCCCTACATTCACAGGCTGGTTCCTGGCTTGGGACTCCAACAAATGGAAGAACTGATCAACCCAAAGAAGATGCAGCTTCAAGCCAAAGCATGATCAGAGCCCAGCTCCTTTCTAGTATTTTTAAGCATAAGCTTATGCAACAATATGATGCATCTGTTTTTACACTTTCCCAAGCTTTGATATATTTCTGTGAATAAAATAGAAATTCTTAGCCTGGAAAGGATAAATGATGATTGGAAAATACTCAAATGGGATGAGTGGGGCTTTTCATGTAGTGAATATGGAAAGGTTTTTTTTGTTTAATCTATTGATTCTTCAAACAGAAGCTGGGGATCTATTTATTTTAATGTACTAAAGTGGGTCAAATTCTACCTTCACTTAAAATTTTAAACTAATGCCACAGAAATGCCCTTAGATTAAGGTCAGCATAATATTATGCAGAATTTGTCCTGATAAAGGACTAATTCGTTATCTGTTGCAACAGTGAGACTGGACATGATTTACTTGCTAAGCCAAAATATTGCCACACTTGCTCACATAAAATTTCAGGTGATGCCTGATCCAGACTGGGAGCTGTGTCTTGCAAATAAAGGATAAGGGTATTTTTGGAAATCTGCGTTTAACATGTTTGTTTGTCTTGTTAGTACTTATATTTAGATCTTCAGACTGAAGGGCTTTGAGCCACTGTCTAGCTCAATGTAATGAATTTCTTTAGATTTATCTCTGTGAGCCACCTTCAGTCCCACCAGTTTTTTTTTAACCAAAGCTCTTAAACACATCCTAGTGCATCCTAGTACACTAGTGCTCTTAAGGGGAAGCTTCAAAAATATGTACTCAGCCTTAACCAGCTGGCACTCATGCCATATTGTGTCACAGTTGCCTTTCTCAACAGTACTCAGTTCTTTTCCAGCATGCAGACTGCTCACCTTGTCAGGTGCAGGATGTGCTTCTGATAATTTTCTATGCAGGTCTTAGTCAAGTATGAAGTACTTCAAGTGCAGGGAAACCGCTTGCTTCAGTAGCTTTCCATATCCTGGGAATCTGAAGTGTGAGTACTATAGAATATGACCTTCTCTTTTCTCTCAGACAGTTATTTGGGCTTTTTTTTTTATTCCAGGGAACCTCAGAGTACATTTTCAAAGTGATTTTTATTTGCAATTTAGCCAGAAAATTCTACATAAAGGCAGTGGAAAAAACTCTGCTTCAAATTTTTAGCACTGCTTTATCACTTTTCCTATAATGCTCTTTTTAAACAACAGTTTGTACAGTAAATTATGTCAATGTGGCTTTTTAATGAAGGCATTTCAATGGTTTTATTATTCTTATAAGATGGGTAGGAAAGTTAAAATTCAGACTTTTTTGTATTTTTTTTAACAAGATTGTAATTTTGAACCTTGGTAATGCAAGGGAGTGAATTTAGTCTAATCAGTATCAATGACAAAAGAATTGTGAAACTAAGAGATTAATTGTAGGAATTTATTAGCTTTAAACATTTGTTTAAACCTCTGCTTTATATCTGGGCTGTATCTGAATGTAATTTCATTTAAAATAAAATTACAAAAAACAATATTCTATGTGCCAAGCTGATCATCCCCCTCTGACATTTTGCTGTTGCTCGGTGTTTCCACTGATGTCTAGCAAAACTTCCTAAAAAAACCAGTAGGTACCTTCCTTTTTAGACTGAGAACTCAATGAGAATTTATTTGCTTTTGATTTAGAGCCCTTTTACCCAAAGGAGGATTAACTCTTCCCAATAACTTCAGTGTTACAAACCTAAGTGAAAGAACTGGGTGTTTATTACCATGTGATTTCATCTTTTAAGAAAAACTACCACTGTTATCAAACTCTCTGGCTTTGTAACTTCCTGCTTGCAAAAATGATTATCAGTAGAAACTACTGTTTTATAAAATAGGAGGAAATAAGGTGCATGTTTGTTTTTAAAAGATAGATTTTACTTGTGAGAGTAAATCAGGAGATGTCTTCCTCCTGCTGGAAGGAGCACAAAGACCTTTTGAGTTCCTCAGCTACTGCATTTCATGCAGCCACTGAGCAGCTTCTGATTATCTCATGGTTGTCTTTGACATGTGCATATGATTCTTCTCATTTTTTAAAAAAATAACAGTTACAGTAGGTTCTTAACCAAGGATTAGACAAGATTTGCCCTCCTTGTACGGAAACACCTTCCGGAACACTGAACTGGCCCTGTCTGCCAGCATACTCTGTGGCACTGTGAAAGCCTCTTTTCAGTTCCCTCACACAAAACAGAGGCGCTTTTGTGGCCTCCTGGCCCGGTCATTTGGGTTTACAGTACATTGTCGTAGCACATCGATGGCTGATGAGCATTGAGAGCTCATAACGGAACAGTGTTCTCAACGGGGCTTTCAGCACAACAGCTGCTAGCAACATTGTTCTTGAGTTTATTTGCTAGAGAGGAAGTTTATTTTTCATGCGTGTATGTGCAGTACGCACAAAGAGGTATTTCTTTCTCTCTCTCTCTGAAGAGGGAGGAAGGGAATATGTACTATGAGCGCTTGAAAATATTAAAGATCAAATTGTTTTCAAGAAAATATTTAAGCATGTAACTTAGGAATACACATAGAAAATCTGTCTTGTTTTCAGAATAAATAAAAAATGTGCAGATGTATACAGTAGCATCAAGTTCATTCAAGAATAAGTTATATCTTGCATTATTATCACACAATAGCAGTATGTTTATTTGTAATAGCAAAATTAGACCCTGAGTTAGCAGTTTCATTATACTACCAAATGGCAAGCATTCTTAGGTTGTATTTTTATCTTTGTTTTACAGAATTTCATTGCAGCAGGAAGATATTAGGAATCCTTAGACCCAACAGGACATCATAATACTATGCAATATTGGTAGTTTACATAAAATAGCATAATCTTTGCATATAACTACAGATTGTACACGGGAGAGGAGCCACCCTCTGGAATTACTGCTCTAAATACCCATTTTGACCATAGCACATAGTGCTATGTAGCATCAGATCTGCTGTAAATGATTATGTTAAAAGTAGCTAAATTAAATTGGACAGTTTGATCTCTTGCCAGTTCAGACTCAAATAGGCTTTGAGCACTTCTTGTTATAAACCTCATGATGTTCTTGTAGTCTTCATCTTTATTTGATCTAAAAAAAAAAACCTTCTAACTTTGCTTTAAAAGCAATTTTTTCCTTAGCATCCCACTGAAGTTGTGCCTCTATGGCTTAATTGAGCCAAATTTAAGTATATAACTCAAAAAATTATCTTATAAAACCAGAGTTAGATAATACTTTAATGTGCTGACTTTCCAAATCCTTGCTTTTTCTTTTTTAAAGATGAAATTATTGTCTTTAGATAAAGAAATAGTACATTTTTCCCTTATAGCTAAGAGTTTTGCTGTTAAAATGAAAGAAATTTTTTATTTCCTTGAAAACACAGATCTTTAAATCACTATACATCCTTAATATCTCATTACATCCTCTCTAGACTGGCTTAAAGTTCCTTCGACTTCCTCTGACTATTAGCACATTACCTTATGCTAAAAAATCAATTAACTACAATAATTTCAATTAAATCTTCCAAAGTGCAAGAGAGAGAAGGGCATGTCAATGGGAACTGGGAGGCCCACCATGCCATAAAATTAGTCAATGACTGTTCTGGCCCTTCACCTTCTGCATGTCATTTCATTTTGACATTAAAGCATATTTGCAATATTGGGGGGGGGGACGACGACCTTCCCTGAAGAACACGTAACCTGATTTCTATTTTTCTTGTAAATAATAGCAAACTGAGATATTCCAGATAACTTGGAAATGAGCTCTATCTGAGCAGATAGAAAGGGAATCAGCCTGTACCAAGCTTCTTCCTAACGCATCCAACACTTCCATTCCACAGGTGCTCTCTCCTCAAAAGGCTGCAATGAGTGTACTGAGATTCACAAGATTGTACCTTTGCACACCACATTCAGTCAGTATTGAAACGTGGGCCACTGTGCACACAAAATGAAAGCATCAAGTGAAAACATTATTTTTTCTTGTTTGGTAGGCTACAGATCACTTGCTCAGAAAACGACCAGGAGAGGTGCAAATAGGGCCAGTGAAGGTGCGTGATGTTTCTTTGGGGATGTATCAGGAAACCAAGCAGCGAGGCTGGGACAATCTGAACAGTACCCTGTCACAAGGCCCAGAGACAGGCACATTTGCTTCAGCAGTAGTAATGCCTTGACTATTCTAACAAAGCCTCTTGACCTCTAGAAGAGCACAGCTCTCCCTGCTGCTCTTTAATAGATTTCACGGAGGTGACTCAGGGTGTTTCCACAGCAGCTGTTGATAACAACATCAAGACTGAATACAATCAGGTGATTTTAACATCATTTACCTGACAGTTCACTGTGTTTTGTGTTGTCTAATGCCCATCCTACAGAAGAACCAGCTACAGCAACAATCCTGATAAAAATAAACCATTGCTAGGAGGACCCTAAGACAAATTTCCCTCTGGGCATAGATTTTTACAGAGGTGGCTCAGAAAGGTCACGGGTTTCTTGTAACAGGCCTGGTAGCACTGCTGAGTCCCCATTTAACCAGCTGAGTGAACCTGTAGATACCTTTGTTGGTGCCAAAGATTGCTGTCACAGAATCGTTTAGGTTAGAGAAGACCTTTAAGATCATCTTGTATTTAAAGCAGGTAAGAAGGATTCTGGTACCTCTGTTTCCCGTGGTCTGTGCTTTCTTGTGTTACCAACCCGAAGTAAATAATTGAATTTCAGTGCTTCTATTCTCCACCTATTAAATGAGGATTTCTTCCATTCTTTTCCTGATTATTTAAGCTGTGATGTCTTTTACTGTGTGTTTGTACCGTGTTTGGCCCTGTGAAGTCACTTCTGAACACTGTCATCTTGTAGGTACTGCTTGTAATCCAGACAGCTGCCAGACTTGCTCAGAGCAAGATTATATTACAAGTGTGATGTCTTGGAGACTTGATGAAGCATGGGTGCAGGTCCACCAATGGTGGTACTGAGTCACCAGAAGAAGGGCAGGAGCCAGTTTAGCTGAGAAGTGAAGTTTTTATGATATAACACAATATAAGCAAAAATAACCACCACCCAGCAATACAGCTGAGTGTTGCTTTGTCAGAGCACTCCGTCAGCCATAACTATAGGTGTATCTGCATCAGGTTTGTATGAGTTCCTTTCTAGATAGGGAGCAGCTGCCTGGACGATAATAAGTGTGAGGGGAAGACAAGGCTCTTCTGTCTTTACAAAGGAAGAGCAAAATCCTCAGATGCCTCTTTACTTTGACTTGGAGAGTGAGAATATTTGTTTTTAAAAGGTATGTCAACTTTTCTGACCTCCCATGTCCTTAATTTTTGCTGCTGGGGTTGTTAAAGTTGCAAGGCCTCTCTGCAGTACAGCTCATTTTGTTTCTAGCAAGTGGTATTTTCTCAGT